TCTCCTCGCTAAAAAAGGTTCTCTCTTTGAATCCACTCGTTACTCTCTAGGTTTGAGCTGGTAGTATCTCAACCATCTTGCTCCCATCAAAATACGCCTTGCAATGAAGTCAGTATGTAAAAGAACCCACTTAGTTGCAGTACTGTTTTAGTAGAAGGACTGAAGCATTTTCAGGTTGCTCAAGCTTTGCTAGAAGCAAGGGGCACTTTAGAGTTAAGACGACCTAATTAGGTTTCCACCCTTAAGAGAGGTCGTCTTCCGGGTCGATCGCCAGAATGCCGGCCACCAGACACGAAGTACGGCGTAACCAGCCCTTCTACAGGAAAACCAATTTCACTGAGTATCCTTTTCATGGAGGATGTCAACATAACCGAACGAAATCGTCTTCTCTCTTCCAAAAAACATTCGCCTTCCTCAAGCATGTGTAGATCTGAAACATTCACCGTGGTCTTCGAGGTCTTACAAACTATTTCATCCTTTTTTTCAATTGTTCCCCACTGACCCAATTAACCAACATTCGTGGCTACTGATTTGGTTCATGCCAGCCTTGTTATTGATTTCCAGTACAAATTAACCCTGTCTGCTAGCTGGAATGGTGGAATCGTGTGAACATACGTCTTTATGGTCAAATGGCGCAAATGGCATTAAAACGATAGCGCTATTTATTACTCCAAAGCAGGTTGTTGGGCTAAGCCAACTAGCATAGATGAGCACCTCTAACAAAAACGGAGCTGGTATTCACATCCGGAAGACATGAAATCGAGTCCTTTTATGGTTCTAATTGATTTTACATGAAAACAGAGTAATATCAACAGCTTAGCGGGGTTCTGAGTGTAACTCACTGTTGACCGGTGTTAGGTTGACGTTGCCCGGGAAAAACTAGGTTAGATATGGATGCGCCGGATGAAACACACACAGGCCCTAAAGTTCTCACTTTTATCTCAGCAAGTTAGCGATGAATAAGTTGTGGCTTGTGAAGCTGATGTTACTTGTGCTTTGGTTGTTTGTTTTGGCTTACCGATCCGAAATAAGTCCATTTCTGATCGAACTTCCTCTCTTTTGAGAGGATTCCCTAGTAAGAAAATGAGGCCGGCGAAATCAGTGCCTCGTCCAAAGACTTTTCTACCAATAATAATAGTAATACTAATTAAATCGTTCAACTGTAGCACCCCTCCGTTGCCTAGGTGCCATGTCACTCGAAGGAAGCACGAGGGCTGAGATACTGTCGGGTTGCTCAAGCCTAGACAGGAACAGTCGAGATGCAGAGGTTGGGTTGGAATCACAGATCTTCCGGCCGGTAAGCTCGCAACTTAACCACTGAGCTGTTTCTAGCTCTACCAATAGAATCGCTGCTCTACTTTCTCTGGAAATCTGTCGTAGATGACTAATATGGGTATAAAATACAGTGTTCGCCTGGTTCATCCATAAGATCTTCCGGATGTGGCGTCACGTCCATCGTAGCTCACTAACATCCGCGACTTGCATTCAATACCACATTCGGCTCTGGCTTACTAGGCATACGCAGACTTCCAATCGCTCAGCTACAAACGATCGATCTATCCACTGTGGGAATCACCTGACCATAAACCCCACTGTAAATGCGCAAGTTTTATAGTCACACATAGTTAAACTTACAAAAAACTGATTATATATTTCTTTCATCTACGAGGAAAGTCGAGTCAAAACCTGAGTGATTTTTTGTGTACTTTGCAACACTGCCTGAAGCAACACTCCGAATTATCGATTTACCCTGAATGCTTAATCTAGTAGTATCAGCACGAAGAAGCACGTGCCATCGGCTCGTTCCGGAAATATCACCACTTGCAACATCCATTCCTATATGTTTCGGATACCGTTTTCATTTGGTACTTATACCTTCGACTTGCTGCCTACACTTCGATTTAGAGGCTGTTCGGTTGTCTACAAAAGCAGGTCGAGTACCGTGTATGGAAGTAGAAAAAATTCCTTAATATTATTTCTGTTTCTGAAAATGGCGTGAAAATGAGGGACGGAAAATAGCGTAGAAAACCAACATCCATGCCTATTAGGAAGCACTTCTGTACAATCCACCAGATTAGTAAAAATTAGATATCAAGTTCTTACTATAGTGGCTAATACACAGCAATCCTCCACCCATATGCGCTGGGTGTTTCAGAATGGTATCTTAAGGACATCCTAAACTGTTGTTCGTTTGTTTACCACCCCTGAGCGCTGGTGGGTGATTACGCCATCACAATAACAAAGAGGTATGATATGCCTGTGCTTGTCGGTGATGTTAGATGCAGCGAGCGTTTTTTTTTGAGTCGGTCGATCACGGCGGTGATGTTAGATGCAGCGAGCGTTTTTTTAGACTCAGGTCGATCACGGCAGGGGACTCAGCAGCTATCGTGTGTAAGGATGGAGGTCAAGGTTACTATAGTCCATATTCTGTTGAGTGGTGTAAATGTCACTGTGGATGCTTTTTACGTTTCAACGTTAATGGCTGAGTTGGAGGTAGCGCTGGTTGCTGATCTGGCGGTCCTTGGTTCGAACCTCGCTTTGGCCCAAACAACATTCTAGTAACCAAGGTGTCGTGTTTTCTACCGTTTTTTGTAAGCTGTGCACCACATCATCAGATGGACGTTCAGCTGTCACATGTGAATAGTTAGTCGACTTAATTAGTACATCACAGGCACACTTCCGTCACAGGAAGTTCACCCTTAAACCAGGGTCTCCTTATATCCGGGAGAAGAACACTATCCCTGGGCTGAAAAATAACACCTGGGATATTGTTACGATTGTTAAAAACTATGGACTGTTTGTGATGTTGAGCCCCAACTTGAAAGGGCTGTTGTTGGAAATCTATTTTCACTTGTCTGACGGATGCCACCAAACTTGCCTGTCCACCAGATTTACTTCTGGCGTTCGACGTGTTCTGATAAATAGCTATCCCCTCTAATAACATCTGTCCTCCGAACCGGTTGAATTCACTCTGCTGTCAGAAGCACGTTCTCATAAGAGGCAAAAACATATTGCCCTGTCGTAACCGAATTTTTCTGCACCGCTCCAGTGGTCTTAAATGGAAAAAGCAAAAATTATGAATCCATTAGCTGGCTTGCATTTAGACGCGGCAATTACAGTAGAATGCAAAAAATCCAATGTGAATAACTCTTGTAGTCACTGGCAGCCGGGAATACTTGCTTTGAAAAATTTTTATTACGTGGGAGATGAACAGGTGAATGAAAAATGGGAAGCTACCAAATGCACTCAATGTGAGCTTCGCCATCCCTAACTTGTTTCTGACTCTTTCAGTATCCACTTTACGTTCTTTTCAATGTTAGAATCTCCTGAATTTTACTGTTATGTTTCTGAGAGCACAGCGAAATTGCTTCGTCCCATTTTTGAATGGTGGAGGATAGACTGCCTCCCGACAAAGGTGCTTTCATTTATTTTATCTTTTTATATACGTTTGTATTCTCGCCTTGTCGTCCTCGAAACTACGACATCGGGTTTTTATTTGGGTTGGTGATGTCTAGTATCCATTGAAAAATCTCTGAGTTGGACACTGGTAATTTCAATAGCGCTACCGAAACAAATTCAGTGAACACGTCAGACTGACTTGTACATGAACAAAAGTGCATTAGTATCGTTGAGATCATTTTGATAGATCCGCACTCTACATACTTTGTCCAAAAACCACAGTGACTTGTGTTAGATGTACCATCATTCTCAAGCAGCCTGGACACAGCCTCCTTGTTGATGTTCCCGACACGAAACTTTGAGTCACGTGCAGTTTTGACGATCCTGAATATCAAAAGGAGAAGTAGGGTTCCTTAGTCTACCGTACTATTTACACAAAAGCCATAGGGCAAACCTCAGTTGTTTACGTTCGTAGCGTCAACATATGCGCAAGTCTGTCACTGACCGGCACAACGCATTGCCTAGGTCTGCACAGCAAACAACGGTGAGCAGAATGTTGCCTTGTTAGTGGGTTTTGGTCGTTTCTTCTGAGACCAGCCTCGTAATTCTGATTCGCGCTGCGATACCACGGAGATCACGACTGAAGAAGTCGAAGGAGGTTTAGCAGACTAGGCGCGAACCCGCATATTAAGTGGGTCACACACATACATACCAGTGTCGGACGGGGCGGCCTTTGCGACAAGGTGGGTGGAAGATACCGACGAGCAAAAGTACATGGGCGGAGTAAGCAAATGAATTAGGGGTTATCATGATGTCATGAACATCGGGAACGAAGGTTGGCGCCTCACTGCTATATGTGTACTTAAAGCATACTCTACCGTGTAGTACAACACGTTGCTCTTGTCACTCACTACAGTCCTATCAGGTGATTGTCCCGTGGCTTCTCAACTGTTGTGTTGTAGGGGAAGAAACGGTAACATTTGATGCTCGTTCTAGAACCGGAATCGTTGTTTTATTAGCACCTGATTTCTCGATCGAAGTGGAATCTTAATTGCGGTGTGGATTGAGGTTTCTGCAGCACATAGCAAATATTCTATTGTAGGTCAAGAAGGAATGGTTTTCCGGAGAGGGACCTACATCATTATTGGCTGTCTATTGTCTGTTATCTGCTCAATCGTTGTGACAGACGCCAGGCTTCCCTCACAGAACATTGTTTTTCACGATTTATTTGGATATTCATTGTTGCGGTAACCTTATTGCGTTGACCTGATGCAGATAGGATGGAGTTCGAATTTTTACTCTATACCATAAATTCCTCCTTGTCCTCTTTTCTACCCACGCTTCATACTTTACTCATATTCTTCCTTACTCTTCTTCTGTGTCTATCTAGCTGTTTCAAGGTCTTTTGTAATTCACAGTACATATGCCTTTTCTTTCAGTTTGTCTGACAATATGCTCTTGTATAAATGTGCGTTGTTTCGGTAAGCCGCCTTTAATTTCGCTATTATGACTTGCTCAGTGATGTTTATAACGTTTATCGTAAGATGTGAGTGTTTCCATGTTCCTACTTGTTCATTCTTTGCCCATTCCTTGAATACTAGGTGCATAATCTGCATGTGTGAATATGAGGAAGGAGATGAATTGCGATACCTCCCCTGCCTACATACTTACCATCGTACTTGCATTGATGACTGGCTCATGCGTGCGTTGACGTGCCCTTCTTGCTTGGAAGAACTTCGACCATCGTCGCCCAATGTTAGCAGATCCACTGACTCGAACCGTAACCTAACTCGTGTTCCACTCAGGGAGGCACAATCCGGTGAACCCCCTTCTTATACCGTTGCCACCAATCCAGCTACGACCACCACATCATTACTCCCGGGGGATAGCTCAACTGATTCGCAAAATCGTGGTGACGAGGTCGATGATGGACCAACTTTTTCTGTGGTGGAGTCGCAGTTAGACAGTTCTGCAACTCAGCATCCAGTCAAACAGCTTACAGATACAGCCGGTGGTAAAAACAATAGCAGCGGTGGCGATTGTGCGAGTGTGGTCCTCCAACAGTCACGCTACCATCGGCGTACCAGGTCAAATGGACCCCCAGTCTCCCGCACCGAAACTATGACCAGGTCACCACTACCCGCATTAAATCCAGGGACTATTCGTCGTGGCAACAGTGAAACTGAATTGGACCTAGTTCAACCGTCTACCACATTTCTACCGCATCTCCATCCTCACCACCCACAATCCTCCAACAGACAAGATGATCAGATGACCCCACATATTCAGCAGCACCTCCCAAGCTTAACACGGCAACTTGATGGCGATTCGCATGAGGTAACTGGTTATTTTCTCTATGCCTTGTTTACTCTCAAGGAGATGTTGTTAAAACCATACGTTCCCAGGCCTTTCTCCCCTGAACGCAATCCGCTTTTCATAATGGATATATGAATTTCATTACGCCTTTGTGTATCAGGCGGTTGTTCATGTGAAGGTCTGCAGTCCCCAGCCTCCCTACATGCGCACACACTGGTGGGCTAGCTTCCTTTTCTGGATTTACTTGTCATGAGGTACGCTAATGTACCCACGCCCAGAGTTGCCCATTGCCCTGAACCGCGTATGAAGCCGTCAGAACCTCTTTATCCGGATATGAGACCGAGGGCCGAAGAATGATATCATCTTCGCTATAAATTTTTTCTTTCTTCTGATTAGCAGGCTTGGTTGACAAATAAGTCGGAACGTATTAAGGTAAGAATTTGATCAGTTTCAGTGGATTTTGACGCAGATGGGGAGGACATACATATGATGAACTCTCAACTATTGAGTGTAACAATAGTCTTCTGTTGTGAATTTTGTCTGAGACTAGGTGGACAAATGCGGTTGGACAGGACTAGCAGCTGGTGTGCTTTCTTTATTTTTTCCCCAGCCTGATTTTAAACGAACTCTTTTATGGGCTCTATTTATGACCAGTATGACAACGTGAGCAACTTGCTATGTCTCACCCACGCTCCCTTAGGCTGGTAGCTACACCCAGGCGAAGAATCTAAGTTTAATGACATTGTTACCGAGTAGTGTCGATGTGGGTGGTGAATGGAACAAACTACCTGTTTCGGCTTTAGACGATGTTGACTCTCGTCAAGACCTTCAAGTACACCGGTTCTTCGCGTTTGACCACAAAGACGTTCTGTTGTTTGTGAGGCAGTGGATCACCTAGCACGCTGCATGGCGTGCTAGCACAGTGCAATATATATAAATATAATGGGCGAGCTGTTTTCGCTATGTACCACAGATTTAAATGAACACAGAATCATCAGGATCCGGTGCGCGTGAGATCCTTATTCCATCCACTCCCAAAAGTCGGCACATATGTAACGCGATGGTTGAAGAGTCGCTGAGCTACGACCCTCAATAAAGTAACCCTGGGTTGATGATTACACAAGTGGATCACCTGACTGGTGATCGAGCCTGGAACCTTTCAGCCACAAACGTTGCATAGTTGATACCAGACAATTTAGATGTTCCAGGTGCCGTGTAAAAGCGATGCTAGCCAGTTTGGGGAGTTGCATAGCAATGAAACGGACGAATCACCCGGATAAAATAAAGGAAATAAAAATAAAGAACAAGGGCAATTTGCCTAAAGATTAACAAAATTGTTTGAGAGTTTTACTGGATGGCGGTTGGACCGTTGAAGGAAGTTTCCTCAAATGTTCCACCCAGCTACTCTTGAGGCCACAGCGAATTGTCAGAAACAGGATTTTCGGGGGACCAAGATGGCTACTACGCGCGTCAGCCATCCGAACGACAGCTATCTCCAATTCGAAGCAGTCGTTGAGCCACAAAACATATGAGAGTGAGTGACATTCTCTTGTACACTTGCGATTGCGTGGGATGAACAAAACACACCCTATACGTGCTGAACGGCATATCTGGCCTCTTGAATGAGCTACTGGGAGTGGGTTTCCTCGGCTTTGTCCGTGTGTATCCGTTTGCTTACTGGTGTGATGCTCGAGAACTGCAACAAACATTCAATGACTGATATTGTAATGCAAAAATTGTTTCTGGTGAGGAAATTCGTGCACCATGGACGATGTGCAAACAACTATGCCCTACAGCAGTTCGCTACTGTTATGCTGCGTGTATGCTGCGTGTTCCGTGACCAAGCTAGCGGAACACTCCTATCAACGTGGCAATAACTGCTAGCAGCCGAACCTCACGAAGTCTGTTGTTATCCTGCAGTGTCAGGGTCCATAGTTTTTCGGTCCACTGCAGGGAATTTAATACAATTGGGCAAGTTTGGGTTGTAGTTGTGACGAGGCTTGATTGTAAACGGTACGTGTTGCGGATTGTTGATCAACTCCAGAGAACCACATTATAGAACTCTGCATTTCATATTGATGATGACCTGATCAGCATGTCTAAACGTTTCGTACTTACAGATAGTCGTATTTCTCGGGATGGAATTTATTATCACTTCAGCAGAGTGTGGTTTTTTCAACGTTTCACCCAGTGGTGCACGGTGTGTGTCCTAACGCGTCTTTGTTACTTTCATCATCATGACTCACGTGATGTGTTATATTTGACTGCTATGTTGAGAGTGTGCTGTGGTAAGTAGGACTACTAGGGGAACTTTGTTGGATCTAATTGTCAGCGAAATTCGATTGCCCCCATGTTTCAGATTAAGGGAAATCAACACGTTTTGGCTGACGATTTGAATAATAACGCTCTTGCATCCTCCTAAAGGTCTCCTCCTCCTTAAGATCTCTTACCCACAGTTCCAAAGCCACCCCTTCGGAGTGAACCATTCCTGCAATCCAGAGTGATTGCACTCGGCAAGGCAACCACACTCCCGCCACACTTCTGGTTGAAGCGTTTACCTTACGCCTTTAGGCTACAAGGAAGTCGATGACATTTCTTTGTCGGGTCGACGTCAGGCGCAAAGATGGGCTAGAATCGCACGCTTCATTATGTTTGTCAATCTATTTGGGATTTTTCCTGACTCCCGGAAAACCTAGTGTAGTACTACATGTCTCCCATGTCTCCGAACTTCTCAATGCCGAATTGCACCTGGTTCGGGTGGCTGCGCATGATCTGTTTTGAACCACATTTGGGGGGGGATAAAGGCTCGAAGGATTGCTGCGAGTCATTAGCGTTATGTAGGTCAGAAGTAGGAGGCGAATAAAAATACTCCGATCTCATTCCATATGTATCTGTTGGTCTCATTCTTTCGTGTGACTCAATGTCATGGGCGTTTCGAAGCCTGTCCAGTCGCTACCCCCTACTGCAAACATGGTCAACGAAGAACTTCTTTAGAGTCGAAGGTGTTACAGCCAGGATTTATCAAGTTTATCTTGACTCTGACAACCATCGACATCTCGGTTAGCTTTTATCCTGAACTGTGCACCACAATGGACGTGAAAAGAATACCCTAACGTATTGTTCGTTATCCACTAGGTTTGAGGCTTAAATCCTTTCAAATGTTTTGCGATACTGTTGCTTCCAGAACATTGAGGAGGTAGCATTCTAGTGACCTTAGTTGTCGAATGGTGCATCTCAGCACTGGTTGATTTTTAGCAGGGGGCATAAGGTGCAATCGCACGACTTAGGAACGAATTTTTTTCCCTTAAAAACCACACAGGAATGAGTGCACCACACTTGTGGCTTTACTCGTGGCTTCAAGTGACACTTTTATTCGGACTTTCACGCGCAAAAACCCTGGTATAATCATGTCTTTCGTCATGGTGCATTGAGCTCTTCGTTTAATAGGTCGTGTGATGTCTTTCCCTCTTTATTTTTTGCTTTTGATTGCCCAATTGTTGAATACTGATTGTGGATCTAGGCTTTGGACCTCACGCTCATTCTCTTCACCAAGATAACTTGTGAGCTCAGTGGACTTAGACGTGTAAATTCACTTGTTGTTTTTTCAAGGAAACGCCTTATCACGTGATATGTTACTCGTTACAATGAAGAGAACTAAGCTGTACAACTAGTATGCTTTGGATTTACCGGCCACACGTAGCATCAGGTGACTGGTACGAGTTTATGGAGAAAAGCATTTTTTTACCAGACGCTCGACGATTGAAGATCAGTTTTCGAGTTTGCACTTGGATGTGACGTAGTAGTCTCGCCTGCGCCCGTAAGTATGCCTTGGAGATAGATAGGTATCGGGTAATCGCTTTATTTTTGGACGTGCATCATTCGGGGAAAGAAACGAACTGCTTCACTATCTCGCCCTTTCCAACAAATTGATTTCTGTGACCGTTTCATTGATTTGCTCACTTTGGCCAGTGTTGTACTGGGCTCGGGTTCTAAGTAGCCTTTCGAATTGGGAAGTGGTTTAATCACTACACATGAGCCACAGCAATCTAGATAGCCGAGAATCAGAACCCGAAAAAGGGAGTGAACACCGTAGATGACTCTAACAGATCGAGCGAATAAGAATATCTGCAAGACCATCTGCATTGTGTCGGCGAACCATTCTGTGCGGTGATAATAATAATAATAATAATAATATAATCGTTCAGCTGTAACACCCTACCGGTGTGTAGCTACCATGTTAGCCGAAGGAGGAATGAGGGCTGCAATACTGCCAAGTTGCTCAAGCCTAGACAGGGAATGTCGAGATGCAGAGGTCGGGTTCGAACCATGGACCTTCCGGTCAGTAAATTCGTGATCTAACCTTTAAGCCATCTCCCCCCTCATTAAAAAAATTAAATCCATATATGTTAAAAAACGCGTTCTACTATTTGACTAACTTCCCAACAAGGGAGCATGTCCGCTGTAGAATGTGTTGCAGTGCATGCAGCCTGTCCCACGGATATAGCGGAACACTTGCCTGTATCCTGTCAGATTTACTGGTTCCATCGCGAATAACCTCATGACTCATTTGACCTGGTTGAAATATTTCCTGGCATAGATTTATTGAATACATTGATGAGGTTGTACGTCAATGAATCTTCAATCTAGCCAGAGTAATTATTTTTTTAGGAGCCGGTCATAAGCTTTTTGTTCAAATGAACGTACAAGTAGAATTCATCGAGCATCATGCAAGACAGGCGCTTTGTGGACGCTGTTAGCCCAGCCGCTGTTTTGCTCTAACGTGCGACAGCCCAGGAAGCTGCTGTTTTGTGTCGATTTGTCCCTGAGACAGTGATCACACTAATTTGGGATTTGGTGCAGATGGCTTTCGCCGTATTTTTCCTTTCAGAATTGTGTCGAAGTTTTTTTGGTGTTTCATGTGACGTGGTTCTATGGTGGAGTCACAATTTGCTGCATGCAGTTGAGGTCGCTCCCGAGATCTGAACTGCACCTCGAGTTTGACTTAGAATTTTTCGGAGTTCAATTCCTGCAGTTAAGTGCAAAGTCATGTACGCCTGCAGGGGATTTTCAGCACACAAATTTAGAATGGAATGGAACCCACGAGATCTGGGTTTGTGCCTCCCTCATACGTAGTTGCTCATCATATTTTCGAATGGTATCACTAAACCACTACTTACACACGGCGGAAGTGTGCCTTTATCCACAGTTTACGCTTCGCTCAGTACTGGAAACCTCACCTGGTATTGAATAAAGCGTAACTTATTTCCTGACCTCTGTGTTTTCGGTACATTACTTCTATTAACTGATATTGATAGTACTGACGTTTCAGTGGTTGAAGGACTGGTTGCTTGACTGAATGCTGTCAGAAGGTCCTTTACTGTAAGAAACTCTTTTGCCTCCCTTTTCTGTTGCAGTTAGGTGCGTTCGCTGTCAGCTACCTATAACAGAGATTTGCCAAGAGTCAGCGAGTTTCTGTGTTTCCTCCACTGTTCGAATTGTCAAGTTCGCCAGCGTCACCTCAGTTAGCTGGACTTGTTTGAGAAAGTTCGTGTCGTCTACTTTGCCACTAATTGTCCCGCGTGCCACTTGAGCATATGATCAATAAGAAATAAGCACTTGGGGCCCCATGAAACAGTACCTTGATCCATGCAATTAGTCTCGTTTTGGCCGTTAAATTGTGCATTTGGCGGCTTCGTGACATCGTTCAGCGGAAATTGATTAGTCGTATTTAGGTAACGATGCTGATTTCATTGACAGGGCGGTGTTGTTGATTTTGCCTTTCAGGTGCGACCGAGCTAACAGCAGAACTCAAGCTACATCTGATTAGAGACACATTTCAGACGAGGTGCCGATGTTGGTGCTGCCTGAATAAACCCAGTCAGTCCACTGTGCTTTCAACCCGTTCACCCCCACAGTCTCGGAGAGTGATACGCATCGCCGCAGTAATTCAAGCGTAACCCCCATGGTTGTTCGCCTCCTTGAGTCGTGCTCGTTTTTGCTTTTCTTACCTTGTTCGCGCTTGCTCATTTATTCATTTTTCATAGTCAGTTGTTTAACCAGGAGCAGTTTCTTATTCGCCTCCGGTCTTGATGGATTGGTTCGTATCCCCCCGTTGTTTCCACATCATCATAATTTCATTCAGTTTGATCGCTTTGACGCCCATTCGAGCATTTTCAGCACTACTGACCTGTTGTACATGCCTATGGAACAGCTCTCAAGCTTTGTATCTCACAGAATTCTATTACTTATCAACATGCCCCGGTAACTCACGTTATTATTCTGCCTGTTTCATCGATAGGTAGAGGAATGTGAACTCGTCAGTCAACCAGATTTTAGTTGCCAAAGGCTCTCAACACAATCCTTTCATATTTCTATTCTTCTAGTCTTCACGTTTTTAGTTTTGTTTCACTTTATCATTTTCTGTTTTTATCAAGTCATTGTTTGAACTCATCCATGCTGGTGCTCGTTTGTCGTAGATCTATCCCATACCAACCAACGTCCACCTATGTATCGTTACATAGTTTTTTTCTTTTTCAAACCGGAACTTTCCAATACTTTTTTGCATCGTTATTTTCGTTTTCATTCGGGTTGAAAATGGCAGGGAAATTAACAGGTTATTCCTTGTTTGCGGTCTATCACTTCTGCACAGGTTGCGCTGGCTTGGCCATGTGTTGCCTATGCCAGTCGACCGACTTCCTCGAAGGGCTCTTTTCGCCCAACCATGTGAAGGGTGGAAGAGAGCCAGAGGCGGTCAAACAATGACTTGGCAG